CACTCAGGCAACACTCACATGCCCATTGTAAGTGACAATGAGTCAGGCATCCCAGTGAAAAACCAAGGCTCACAGTGACAAGTGACCTACAGTGCGAGAGAAGAGGGCCATGTCCCGTATGTGGCTGACCTGACACAAGATATCTCCAGGGCCCTCACCCAGTGCCCTTTTGCCAGATACCATCTGTGAGCAGGCACTCTCTTAAGATACAGGAAACCAAGGACCACACGTAGACATGCCCTGGTCAGAGAAGTTGCTGCCCTTGTAACACCTGGGGCTCTGGGCCTCTCTGTGCTGCTCCAGAAGACTTCCCCTCTTGTCCTGTGAGCAGATGGAAGGCAGATCCCGGTGGGCACCCTACTGGGGAGATGGCACAGTTGACATAGTGGGACCTTAGCTGTGGAATGTGGCAGTGAAGGAAGGCTCAAGCATCAGCAGGTGGGAAGGAGGTGGTGAGGGCAGTGTGCAGCCAGGCCCCAGGGCCTGCTGTGGAGGAATCAGAACCCCACAGCTATGGGGCTTGTGCTGAGTGAGTGGTAAGAGGCAGAACTTGACACAGAATGGGAGGCCAGGCCAGGCCCAGCCCAGCCAGAGGGAGCTGCCTTCGTGGGGAGTGAGGCTGGGAGAAGGGAGGGGCTCTGATATGTCTCAGCATCTCTCTGTGGGTGACACGAAAAGCCCTCACAGAACATCTTGGTTGCAGGAGGTAGTGATTTCCTTAGTATTTTATCCTAAAGCTCCAATAAATTAAAGACCCTAATATCTGAAGGTGAAGACCCCATTACAATGATAAATGGCCTCTACTGCTCTCATTAGTTTATAACCCAGATAGAAGAGGCATGTGTGGCCATCTCCAAGGAGCAAAACTCCAGGCCAGAAAAATAGCCCCAGAGATGGACATTTGGAGACATGAATCTGGGTCCAGGGGACTGAGAGAGGCCAGGGCTGGCAGCACCACAGGAAAGACTGATGGAGCGCACAGCAAAAGGACAGGCCTGGGTTTTAGAAGTGCCCAGCCTCTCCCCAGCCATTCACTCAGCAGCTGAGATCCCTGCAAAGCTGTGGGCCTGGCTCTGTTCCATATTTGGCTGGTGACTCTCTACTGGCCACCCCCTTTCTATGAGCTTTATTTTCTTTAATTTGTAGGATGCTATCCTTCTCAGAGGGGCTACACAAGTATTAATCCTTCCAAAGTCATAAAGGGCCTCACACCATAAGGTGTTATAAGTGTCAGTCCTAGGCTTGGCTGATTGAAGATTAATCCAGGTGGATCCACGTGTATGGAAAATGGTGAGGGAGGGGGCATAGCCTTGGGAGCAGCGGCCAGAAGACAGGGGCTGTGTGCTTGGCTCCACTTGGTCTTGGAGTCACTGGGTCTGTAATGCAGGTGTGCTGCTCCTGTTCCTGCCTCAGTGGGCCCCGCATAGAGGCCCCGGCCCTGTACTGCCCCTACCACACAGGGAGAGTCTCGTCCTGGCTTGGGGTATCCCAGGCAAATATCAGAGATGGTGCCTCTGTAGCCCTGCCCTCCCTGGGAAACAAAGTACTTGTCCCTTTAGGCACTCTCTTATTTAGAACCACAGGAAGCGCTCATCAGCCTCCACAATGTGGTCTGTGCATATGTGGCATTTTGCTTTCCAGTGTGGCATGGTACTGGTACTGGACTAACCCTGCAGCATCAATCAGCAGTGGACATAGGGAAGAGACACACATGGTGAGTCCACCATCACCCCAATATCACCATGGCTTTCTGCCTCCTGGCCACAGCAAAGGGTGGTGGGGAGCAGAGCAGCAGGAAGAGCCACAGCCTCGCTGAGCCCTGGAGCCCAGTTCAGAGCAGAGTTGCAGCTGCAGAGGCAGGCAGGAGGCACCTGCGGGCACATGGTAGGCGAGGGCAGACATCCACATGGGTTGTCCATGTCCATGCCCTTGTTTCAGGGCTGGCTGGGCATGTGAAGGCTCAAACTCCACGTCCTCATAGAGAGGGCATCCGTAGCTGAGAGCTGAACAGAGGCAGGGTGGGGAGATGTGGGAATCCTGCCCAGTGGGATTCAGAGAACTCACCAAGCACTGCAGGCCCTTCCATCAGACCCAGATAAGCCACGCCTTACAGATGAGAAACATGGCCTGCAGGAAGGCTTCACCTCAGAGTAAATTACAAACAGAAAACAGACATAGACACACCATAGAAGGAACCAAAACCATGCCTGATAGATGCAAAGATCTGTGACTTACCTGTCTCTATAACAGAACTTAATGTAATGGCTGTCTTCTCTCTGTCTCTCCTTAGGGGGTTTATCAGCTGTACATCCATCTCCTAGCAGCTTCTGTGTCTTTTCTCCCTGGAATGTTCTCCTGTGCCCTCCTTTTCCCTCCCTCAATGAGATATAAACAAACTGCTTCATGTCTGTCTTGTCTTGTTGGAAGCCTGGGGCTTGACATCAGACACTTATCATCTCAGGATGTGTGCACCACACAGTTCTCTATCTCAAAACTCTTTTTCTTACTTTGTTAAACAATGTGATTTTCAGGCATTGCTGAAAATAATTTAGTTTTTTTTTTTTTTTTTTTTTGAGACAGAGTCTCTCTTTGTCGCCCAGGCTGGAGTGCAGTGGTGTGATCTCAGCTCACTGCAAGCTCTGCCTCCCGGGTTCATGGCCATTCTCCTGCCTCAGCCTCCGAGTAGCTGGGACTACGGGTGCGCGCCACCACGCCCGGCTAATTTTTTTTGTATTTTTAGTAGAGACAGGGTTTCACCATGTTAGCCAGGATGGTCTCGATCTCCTGACCTCGTGATCCGCCCGCCTCGGCCTCCCAAAGTGCTGGAATTACAGGCATGAACCACCGCGCCTGGCAATAATTTACTTTTTAAAAAATATTGACTCAGCTTAAGATCTGGATTTTGCAATGCATTTATTACTTTATGTGTCTCCTTATTCTCATCTGAAATTGTATTCCAGGTACTAATTAATCCTGCCAAGGCTTTCTTCCCTTTCTAGATAACTTGCAGTGTTTGGGGCGCTAACTGCATGGTGTCCTTACTGTTTTGTCAAACATCAGGCCCTTTATTGTCTCTGGCCCATCAAACAAGTCCATGGTCCTTTATTTATTTTCCAAGACTGGTTTTCCTGTGGGGATGAGCAATGACCTTGATGGTCCCTCTAAGGTTGCACATGTGGTTGTGAAGAACTGTAGTGGAGCAAGTGCCAGTCAGAGGCAATGTAGCCAAGCCCAGATCCCCACCGGCCCAGTCTACAGCCTCTCTGTCTCAACTCCTCACTGAAGCAAAGGGCAGAATGCCTCAAAGGTCAAGACAAAGCTGGGGCATATTAGAGCTCCTGGGACCATGACAGAGTGGACAGCAACCCCAGAAATCTGCTAACACTGAGTGAGGCAGGTAGTGGACTCTGTTTATCCAATTTGTTAGGTCTTATCTTCAGATTCATCAGAACTGAGTAGGAGACCAGGTGAGAGACTGCACCGAGACTGTCCCACACAGGGTGGGATTGCACCTGAAGGTAATTGATCTTGCTGTTGATACAGGTGAATAACTCCATTTGGTTGGCCAAAAAGGACATCTAAATACACATGACAATGGTGGACCAGGTAGAGAGTCAAGAAAGGTTGGGCCCAAAGTAAAGAAGCAAAAGTTTCTCTGACACACAGATTGGGTGGAATTTGGGAGTCCAGGCAGCTGAGCCCCACGGAAGTCTCTTCACATGGAGCAAAAGCCCAGTCAGCCTAGAATTGAGGGCTTATTCTCAGGAAGGGCTGGTAATACCTAGGCAGTGCTTTGGACTCAGGAGAGACTTGGAGTACTAAGGCATCCACTAAAGCACGACCCAGTGTAGAAATATAGTCCTAAGGATTAAACCCAGGGTGGGGCTTGGGCTCAGAAATCACACCATTGGACTCTGGGCACTAGGTCAGATTTGGGCCAGTAATAAGTATTCTTAACATCAAGTCCCTGAGTGTGTGGCCATAGCTGTTGAAGTACCAAAGGGCCTCTGCTAGAAGGGCTGACACTTTCTGTGGACAGGGATCAAGTGGCCTTGCTGTGTTGAGGAGGCTGTGTGTAGAGGCTGGAAACTAGGCTGACCCTGGCAGATTGGAAGGTTGTTCATGGACCAAGCACATGGGCTTCAGTCCACGTGAGCCACTTGGCATCATTACACAGCTAATGAGTGCTCTTTGTGAATGCTCCTTGAATGCGCATTGTAGTTGAATGAAAAAATTCATTCATGTGAATAATGAGAGAGGGAATTGGAATACTAAGAGGCTGGCACAAGCAGACCCTCACCAAACTGCAGAATTAATGAATGATTAATACAAAAAGGATCGCCAGCTGGAAAAAAAATCACTCCACGCACTCTAGTGAGAGGAAAGAATCATGAGGCTGTGGCACATGGCAGGGTTTGTTGGTGGGTCAGTGACAGGTTTCAGTTTGGAGGATGACTTGGGTACATTGGAGACAAAATAAATCAGTACAACTCTCAACTTTTTTGTGACAACTGGTCACATTGCATACCTATTTTACCTTCAAGATGACCTCATGAACTGGGCATTATTATCTATATTGTAGAGGCCAAGAAGCTGAGCCTCAGAGATGGGTTGACTGACAAAGGTCCCTCAGCTCTTGGACACCTAGAACTGTGCAGTTTGAAACAAGCCATGGTGAGAAGTATTCCCTAAGGCAGGGAGAAGAGGCTGGCTCCACAGAAACAAGCCCTCAGCAAGGCAGGGTTCAGGAAGTCAATGTAGGTGGCTCCAAAGGCAAGGCTAGTGCATTCTGATTTTTGACAGAAGGTGGCTTTTCCTCTGCAGGATGTGGGCAAGCTCATCCCCAGGTGTGCATAACTTTGGGAAGAGGGTCACCTGGCTTATGTTTGAGGCAGGAAGGGACATGCAAGGATTACATTTATACCAAGTTTGCTACAAAGTAACAGATTGTGAAATCTCACAGCTCCAAGTGAGGTAAGCAATGTTCACTGATGCTCATGAAGAGTGACAATATATTTATTATCTCATCTGTGCAACTTTCAGAAGTGAATGTTTGCATATTTAACAATTATCCTAGACCTCAGACATAGCCGAGGAGTGTCTACAGCAAGCCGAGACCAATGGCACCATGGATCTGGGGACTAGGTCTCCACAGCAGGCTGGGCGCAGTCTCAAGACTCCAGGATGAAGAATCCAATGGCAGAAGCCAGATAAGGGCAATGCACAGCACACACTATGGGCCCACACTGACCTCTCTCTGCAGGGATCATCCCCACTAGACCTTGGAACACTGTGAGGGGATAACTAAAAGGAAAGCACTGAACTCAATGTACATAAGAAAAGCTGCCTCAAATGGTTTTGTGACTTAGGCAAGTCAAATGATCTGTTTTGGGTCTCATGTTCACCATCTGTAAAATAGGAATAAATAATTTCTTGCCTGTCTCCTATGAGATTGTTCTGATGTTTGAGTGGAACAATACCTGTAAAGGTGCATTTTGAAGGGGCAGTGTGATGCACACGGAAGAGCACAGTTCACTCATTTCCACCACTGTAGCCACATGAGGGAGTGGGAGTGATATTTTATATCCTTCTGTGAGACTGTGAGCTCAGGGATAACATGAAAGAATCTGATATCCAGGTGGAGAATTTTGGGGAAAAAGTTCAGGGAGGGGAGGGCTAGCACAGGTGCTCTCAGGGTGATGTGTGGTCCTGGAGAGCCTGGTTGGAGCAAGGGCACTGCAGGAGCCATATTTGGGTATGTGGACGCCCTGGGTCTTAGGATTTTATACTTGAAGTATAAGTATACTTTATATTATACTTATAATATGTGTTATTATAAGTACTTGTTTATTAACACATGTTTCAGGAACACTCTCTTCCTAAACTAGAGAGGACCCATGGGAGGTGCACTTTCTTCCTTTGGATTTTACAAGGACACACTAGAAAGAGCGATGGAAAACTTTCTAATCTGCAGCACAGCCAGAATGTTCAGAGGTGAGGAACAAGTGGCCAAGTCAGAACAGGGTCTGATCCAGAAGTCATACGTGTCATTTTATCTAAATGAGAGTGAATGAGATGGGAAAGACCTTGTGTGTACTTTGCTTCTAGAAGTAAAGGCAATGAGGATGCCAGCAATACATCCTGAGCATTTACATTTACTGACAGAAACCATACTTGTTTGTTATGCAAAAGTTCTGTAAAAGCTTAGATATGCAGTAGAAATTATTTAGGTTGAGACAAGTGGTAACAATTGTGGCTATTGCTAGAGGTCATTTCACTTAAACACCAAATGCTCTCCTGCCCGGGGCATCACGTTCCTTCTGTGTTAAGCATAGAGTGGACTATTGGTGTGTTGATGAAGTAGAATTTATGCAGTTTTCCCTCTTCCAAGTTGCTATCATCCATTGAAAGACTTTCTCAGTCAACCCTGTATGGAAGGAAAGTTGGAGAAATCTTGAAGAATAAAGACTTGCACAGAGTTGAGCAGCAGGTTCTTAGAGAAGGCAGTATGTATTACTGCTGTGTAACACATCGCCACAAATTTAGCATCTTAACATCACACATTTATCTCGCAGTTTCTGTGGGTCAGGAATCCAGGCCCAGCTGGGCTGAGTCCTCTGATTCTGGCCCTGGAATAAGCCTGCAAACAAGGTGTAAGCCAGGCCTGTTGTCTCACCTTGCAATGGACAATTTTGTGTGTCAACCTGACTGGATTAAGGGACACCAGATAGCTAGTAAAGCATTCAGGTGAGTCTCTGAGGATGTTTCTAGAAGAGATTAGCAATTGAACCAATAGACAGTGTATTTATTGGAATTTTCTAGAAAAAACCGATAGTATATCAATATCTAGCTACAGACAGATATATGTGAGAAGAGACTTATTAGGGGAACTGGATCACATGATTATGAAGTCTGTAAAGTCCCACAATAAGCTGCGTGCAAGCTGGAGACCCAGGGAAGCCCATATGTAACTCTCAGTCCCAGGCTTAATGTCTGGGAATCCAGTGAGGTGGTGGGGGCTGGGGGATGGTTCTTGTGTGAGTCCTGGAGTCCACAGGCCAGAGAGCTTGGAGTTCTGATGTCCAAGGGCAGAAAGGTGTCGTAACTCCAGGAGAGAGAGCGGGATAATCACCTTTCATCTGCCTTTTTCTTTAGAATTATCTCCAGCTGATTGGACAGTGCCTACCCACATCCAGGGAATCTTCCCCACTCAGCCTTACATACACTCAGCAATAATGCTTTATTGGTGCTCTAGATATTTCTTAATCTAGTCAAGATGACACACAAAATTAACCATCACACAGAGTAAAAAAGAATTGTCCTCACTGATGTGGGCTGGCATCATGAACAAAACAGAACAGAAGCCTGGGGAAGAGCGGATCTGCTAAGCTAAGGCATGCAACTACTCCTGCCCTCCAACATAGGGTCTCCTGGTTCTCAGGCCACTGGATGCTGTTTGAACTACACCATGGGCTTTCCTGGGTCTCCAGCTTGCAGAGGACAGGTCATGGGGCTGACTCCTCAGCCTCTGTAATCACAATTTCCATAATAAATTCCCTTTCATAAATCCACATATATATGCTATCAATTGTCCTTCTCTGAAGAACCCTGGCTAATCCACACCTGAGATCTTGACTGGGACAGGGCTGTTCCTTCCTCACATGGTATTGGCAGGACTCGGTTCTCTGTGGGTTATTATGTTGACTCCTTTGGTTTCCTGCTGGCTGTGGCTGCAGGACACCCTCAGTGCCTGGCCACATGGGCAGCTCATGGTGTAGCAGTTAGCATCACACAAGCTGGCAAGGGTGTGTCTGCTGTCAACAAGGATGTTATAATCTCATGTGAGTCAATCATATCTGTCACAGAAGTGGCATCCCTTCGACCCTGAGAGATCCTAACATCACAGCAAGTTACTCAAGAAGAGGGAATTGCACTAGGCTGTGAATACCAGCAAGCAGGGGCCACTGGGGTCATCTAGAGGCCACCTACTGCAACCAGCCTGCTGGTCGCTGGTGATGCCACCCCCTAGCATCCAGGTCCTCATGTCACCTATTCCCCTAAGTGTGGGCAGGACTTGTGGAAAATTCAACAGTCCACGAAATGTCAATCCTCCAAAGACCACATGAGCTTGGAAGTGGATCTCTCCCCAGTCACATTTTGAGATGAGACCTCCAACTCTGGTCAACATCTTGGCTGAAGGCTCATAAGACCTCTTAAGGAAAAGAACCCAGGGGAGCCCAGATTTCTGCCCCTCCAGAAACTGCAAGATGATGACTGCAAAGAGTTTAAAGTTGGTATGTTTGTGGAAATGTGTCACACAGCAATAGACCACTAATGCATCATCTGCAATAATTCCTCCAAAAGGTTTGTGATGCTGGGAGGATTTCTTGTACCAAGAGATTCAGATGCTGTGCAACTAAACTTCCAGGAGAGACTTAGTGTAGAGATAAACCCTGGAGTAAATGAAAAGAGGGCACTGTAGCAAGTCTGTGCATAGAGCACTGGCCTATGTGATATGGTGATTAACAAGTCCACCATGTATTATGTGATATTATAGAATACCCCGCTTTTCTGTGGCTCTTGTTAAGTTTTGCACCTCTGAATGGTGAACTATGCACTTGGCAAAAAGTTTCTGGCATGCGAATATAAATGTCGAAGGCATGGGTCTGGCCTTTCCTTTCCTTGAAGTTTTCACTATTTATCAGCAGACATCAACTATCTGTTTGAGTTTGGCACTGGAGATGCTGACCTGAGCTGACCTCCTGGCATAGTTTTTTCACTGGGGGAAGCTTTCACCCTAAAAATGGCATCCCTCTAGCAAGGAGTCATGTGTCTTGACTCCTACTTTTGGCTCAAATCCTGGCATGGGGTGCTATTGGCTGAGGAAAAGTCCTCCTTTCACTGCCTTTGAGACATTTGTAAAGCCCCACGATCCTCCAGCCTGGCCTGTTTCCCCTGGGGGGCCTCCCCCTGGGCAGGACATGCCATCCATGTGCTTCTCATGCCTGTTCAGGCTGCTCATGCAGGCCCAGGTGAAGTGATGGGTGATGGAGCCTGGGAGGGATGGTGTGGGTCCTTATGCTTCTTGCCCTGGTGCTCAACAATTCTCCTGGGGACCCAAGTGGCCCCAGATGTTGGCATGCATCAGGAAGGGTCCCAGAACAGCTGGGCTGGCCCCATCGTCTACCTCATGGGTTTCAGGGCAGTGAGAGCTGGCCAGTCACAGTCCAATGGCAGCCCAGCAAGGCACAGCAGAGGGGTGGGTGGTGGGATGGCAGGGCTTGCAGGGCAGAGCATTCTGATGGGCCAGGGCCTAGTTTGAGCAGGGTTGCTCTGTGGGTCTATATCCACAGGCATTGATGTGACTTTGGCCAGTACCTCTAGGCTCCCTGAACATCAGGCAGCCTCTCCTCCTTTAGGGATGATGGACAGTTACCTCTGAGCAGGGCCATGTGGGGCAAAGCACAGTGGTGGTTGTGAAGATTTTTCAGAAACAAGATGCTGTAATCACAACACGTGTGGATTTCCACTGCAGGAATACCCAGTGCCATGTTAAAAGACATGTGAATTGGGAGTTTATGTGGGTGTGGTATTGGCCTAATGGTTTCTCCCCATCTTTTTTGTCTACTTTTCTCTTTGTCCTCCTGCTTGCCATGAGCCTGAAGGCAGGGCCTGAATCCAGCAGCACCAGAACCCAGGAGGCCTGGCTCTCCAAGAAATGGAAAAGAAAGCTGGGTGGAAATATGGAGGACAATGGTAAAGGCCTGGATTACAACTGAGTGTATACAGATCTGAAGTGGCCAGCGTCCAGGTGCTGAACTTGTAATAGTCCATGCTATGTGGCTCAGTGATTCCAGCCATCAGCCATTCCTAGTCCCTGCTCTGCCCGCCTGCAGACCCCAGGCTCCCTGCAAGGCACTTTCCCACTGCCCTTGATCTCAGGGCATTCATGTCTCCCTGCTCTATTCGAAAACTATCCTGCACAGACCACAGCTAAGCACACCCCTACTATAAGAGTCCAGCTGCATTTCTCTCCAGCCCCAACTCTGGCCCTCACTCCTCATTCTGGTTTCCTGTCTTTAACATCTTAGCCTCTGCACTTACTGTTCCTCTTGCCGAGCACACCCTTCCTCTCCATTCCACATAGTACAGTCTTACTCATGCATCGAGCCTGAGCACAGGCGGATGGCCCTGACAACTCTGTGAGTTCCCACTCCTCTTAATTTCTATGTTATTAGATGACCAGCCCTCTTATTTTGTCCTCAAATGTAGTTGGACATAATTGATTTAAGCAACAGAGGCATTTGTCTGGCTTTGTCTCTGAGACTGCCATCTCCCTGTAGACAGAGAGCAAATGTTGTGCATCTTCCATGTGTCCCCACAGCTTGCATGGTGTTGGCAAGTAACCGAGCCTGGCATGTGCAGTGAGGTGGATGGGTGAGCAGGCCAAACACCGTTCCCAGGAAGATGGAGAAGATAGGCAGGAAGGCGGCAAGGATGCAAGACAGAGAAAAGCTCAGGGTGAAAAAATCCTATCTAGGTGCAGGTGCTGGGGCTGCAGACCCTAGAGCTTCTCAAAGGCAACTCGATGTTTTACAGTCCCATCCAGTCTCCAGCATCATTGTGCGGCCTCAGCATCTGTGGTGTCCAAGCTACTTTATCCCTGGGGGAATATGGGCATCTCCCTGGGAGGGTGTCCACAGGAGGATATCAGGGCTCTGTGGGTGGCCTGGCATTTGGGGTCTGGGGGTCGTGCTTGGAAGGAATCAGATAATGCCTGGAATCCGGAGCTTGCCTCCTCTTTGTCTCTTAAGAGCTCCTTGGGACTTGGGCTCCCATTAAGTGGTTTTGAACCCCAGTTTTCCTGATTCTCAGATTCATCTGGCATGGAGGCTGGGTAGCTTTCCTGCATTCTGAAGCTTTCTTCCCACTGGCAGTGAGTTTATGGGAGTGCTTCTGTGCTGTTCTATTTTTTACAGGAAAGGATGAGTGACACTTGGAGGACAGGGCACACAGAGTGCCTTTGGGCCAGTTCCCAGGCAACAGAAGGTCACAGCTGGCTTTGGAGTTGGGAAGAGCTGGATTTCATTTTCATGCGACCCTGAGTCTGTTTCCTTATCCAGAAAACAGAGAGAACAACAGAATCCAGCTAACAGGGCTGGAGTGGGGAGGGATGGCTTACAGCAGAGCCTACCTGGAGACAGGCATGGCTGTGCTGGAGTGGCTGAGGCCACCTCATTTCTCTGAGCCTCAGCTCTCATCTGTAGAATGCCGCATCTTTAGGTCTGTCCCAGCTCCATTCCAGTCAGTCATGGTGTGCTGATGGGCACCTCCCTGGTCAGGCAACCATCCATGGCTCAGCAGCCCAGCATGGGAATAGGTGTGTCTGAGAGCTTGGTGGGGCAGAGCCCATGTGCTCCCCCTTCACCTGCTTCCCCATCCCCAAAGGTCTCTGCACAGAGGCAGGTAGCATATTTGGGAACAGAATAAAAGAGCAACCAAGGATTCTTCTGAGATCTGTGAATGAGGGTAGTAACAGTTATTACGCTCCTACTGTGAGCCAGAGAATTCTAGGAGATGCTCCATGTGTGACAAATAACAGGCCTCACAAGAGCCCCATGAAGGGCTGCGGTTGCCTGCATTCTATAGAAGTGGAAATTGAGATTTAGAAGAATTAGCTGATCTGTCCGTGACACACAGCTAGCAGGCAGAAGCGGAACCTGAGCCGACACCACCTGTGCAGACCCCAGGTCCTCTCACCTGCCCTCCCTAACCCAGAGGGATCTTCTTTTTTTCAACAGAGCCAGCGCATGGCACATGTGGATGGTGGGTCTCGCCCCACATCCTCTGGGACATCGGCAAGAGACAGGAGTGACTTGGTGGGTGAGGGGCTGGCATGAACACCTAGCACAGTGTGGGGCGGGCAGGTGGGGCACCCCAGTACCCTGTGATGGGCAGCAGGGGCACAGCTTCCTCAGTGTCCCGTCCATTCATTTATCACCCAGCCATCTTCCGAGTGTTTGCTGACAACGTGTCATCTTCTGGGCACCGTCTGATCCTCCTGGGTCTGACTGCAGACAGACTGTGCTGCCCTGGGAGCACGTGTCCCAAAGTAAGCCCATGGGAGAGGAGGGATGACACCAATTCTTGCCCCACCCAGCCTGTTCCTCTTTCCCCTGAGCCCTGACCTGTCCCTCTCCCGGGGAGCCCCTGGCCTCCAGTCCCCTTCACCCAGACAACTCAGCAGCTCATTCTCCTTTCCAGGGCCCTCTGAGGATAAGCAACACCAGGCTGTGTGTACTGAGATGAGAACTTCTGACCCTTTCTCCTCCTTTCCCTGGAGATCTAATTTAAAAGGTCTGGGGCAGGAGCTTGGAGGTCAGTGCATGGATTTCTGAAGGGCAGTGAAGAAGCCCTCTGAGCTTCTCCAGCAACCTGCCTGGCCTCCTGTGCCTCTCCCCTCCTCCCCTCCCCTGTAACTGTCCAGCCCTGAGAGGAGACAGAGCTCCCTCCCTGAGGCCACAGCCTCCTGTGCATGGGCTGGCATCCCCAGCCCTGAAGAACAGGATGTCCTGATGAGCAGAAATCCTCTCCGGGTCTGGGATGAGTGTGGCAGCCACAGGAGTGGGCCCTTGAGTGGGATGGGTCCTGGGAGGGGCTGTTCCCACCCATCCCTGCTGGTGAGGGGCAGGGGAGTGTGAGGCCATCAGGAATGGTCATGGGGGTCAAGAATGAAACCATACTGGACAGGGTGAATGCATGCTACTGCCCCATCAAAACAGGAGAGAAACATGTGGCCTATATAGGGAGTGGGGCTGTGTAGGCAAGGAGGGTGGCATGGAGGAGCCAGATGCTTAAGGACCCCTCTTATCTAAGCGTCCTGTGGTGCCCCCTAAACAGCTCAGTGTGGAATGTTCAATGCTTTTGACATTTCCTGGGCAGGGCTGGAACCGGAAAGGCTCTCGAGTTTTCTACATCCTGCATCCTTCCCTTGTCACCAAGCAAGGAAAACCTTGGCCACGTCAGGACTGGTGGAGTCATCAGACTGGGCAGATTCTCCTGCCTCAGCCTCCTGAGGAGCTGGGATTACAGGCATGTCCCACTGTGCACAGCTAATTTTTGTATTTTTAGTAGAGATGGGGTCTCACGATGTTGGCCAGGCTGATCTCAAACTCCTGACCTCAAGTGATCTGCCCGCCTTGGTCTCTCAACTTGCTGTGATTACAGGCCTGAGCCATTGGGCCTCACCCCTTCTTTCCGGAGACTTTCTGGCATGCCCTTCCTTCTCCATCTCATTCTCCCTTCTCTTCTCTCCTTTCCCCCCTCCCTCCTTCTCCACAACTTCTTCTCCGGAAAAGGACCCAGAGGGGACAGTGGCACCCTCCTCCCCTTTCCTCCTCTTCCAGCCTCTCCCTTCTGGCATTTTGTGCTGTCCTCCACCCTCCTGATCTCCTCCCCAGGGCAGGCCATACTGGCTGATCTCAAAGTAAGCCACGTGGGTCCAGCTGGGCTTCCTCTCTCCCGTGGGAAGGAACCTAGGGCCAGTGCAAACTCCGGAAGGTTCCCTGGAGGTGGAGGCTGTGGCTGGGTGAGCTCCAGGAGCAGAGGCACAGCCAGAGCCTGGGAGGCAGTGATGGCCCCTGGTGCAGCAGTGGCTGGAGCCTACCTTAGGTCCCGCTGCTGTGAATCCGGTGGGGAAGAAGTCACAGAGCGGACATGGCAGCGTATATCAAATCACCATGGTTTCCAATGTGCATTCTGTGCAGTTCCTGCAGGCAAGAAAACGAGAGCAAACTTTAATCTGTGTCTAGGCAATTTAACACACACGAAAACAGTTAAAAGCCACTCGCCAGGCCCTGGGTTCCCAGGCTCCTTTCATCGCATTATTGAAACTAGACGTATCTGACATGGCAGTGCTCCTTCCTCCATACCGCCGCATCTCGCCATATCAGCTCCCTAGAGCTGCCATAACAATGACCACACGCTGAATGGCTGAAGCAGCACACATATATTATCCTACAGCTCTGGAGGTCAGCGTCTAAAGGGTCTAAAATCCAGGCGCGCGCAGGGCTGGTTCCTGCAGAGGCTCTGGGGCAGCCTGGCTTCCTGCCTTCCTCTACCCTTCGGGTCCTGGCTCCTCCCTTGTCTCAAAGCCTGTGGCCCAGCGTCCTCCGATCTCCTCCCATCACGGCTCCGTCCTGGCTCTGAAGGACCAGCGCCAAGGCTCTGCGCTGGCCTGGGTGGTCCAGGGCCATCTCCTGCCTGGAGGTCCTGGCACCGCCCCTCTGCCAGTCCCTTCCGACCTGGGGATGACCCCCCCCCGGGGCCGTGAACCCACCTCGCCCTCCAGCCTGTGGGCTCCTTGCAAGGCGAGGGGTCCCCTGGGCCGGCAGCTTGCGGGGCAGGGTCCACCGTGGCAGGGCCGGCTGTGTGGCTGTTTTCCTATGACTTTCCCGCCGTGCTCTCCCCAGGCCTGGGTTCACACTCGGCCACAGCCCAGCTGTTTATGGCACTTTTATTATTTCGCTGCTATTCCTGGGGTGGGGCTGGGTGAGGATCAGGCCCACCTCTAGATGATAGGAAGCCACTACCGGTCTCGTGGGACGAACTCCAACCACGGCGGAAACCACGGCCGTGGCTTCCTGCTCCCCGCGCCTGGCGCGCCCCCTGCTGCCCCGCAGCGCTGCACACCGGCTTCAGACCCGTGGCTTCCCCGTGGGAATCGCGCCTCGAGGGTTCCTGCATCTGGCCTGGAATACATTCAGGAGTCAGTACTGAATTGTTGAGGGCAAAAGCCCTAGAATTGTAACCGTCAGTGGGTTCACCTTGTCCGGTGCTTAGACAGAGTCATTTATCAAGACGGGGAATGGCGGTAGAGAAAGGCTAATTCACACAGAACGGGCTGTGCAGGAGACTGGAGTTTTTTTTTTTTTTTTTTTTTTTGAGACGGAGTCTCGCTGTGTCTCCCAGGCTGGAGTGCAGTGGCGTGATCTCGGCTCACTGCAAGCTCCGCCTCCCGGGTTCACGCCATTCTCCCGCGTCAGCCTCCCAAGTAGCTTATTATTACTCAAATCAGTCTCCCTGAGATTTTGGAGATCAGAGTTTTTAAGGATAATTTGGGGGGTAGGGGGGTGCCAGTGAATCAGGATTTCTGATTGGTCAGGAAAGGAAATCCTAGGGAGTTTAGGTTGTCCTCTTGTGCTGGGTCAGTTCCTGGGAAGGGGAACTGATCAATGACCCAAGACCAGATGAACCTGTTTATCCATCTGGGTGGTGCCTGCTGATCCATCAAGCTCAGGGTCTGCAAAATATCTCAGGCACCGATCTTACATTTTACAACAGTGATGTGATCCCCAGAAGCAATTTGGGGAGTTTTAGAATCTTGCAGTCCCCAGCTGCATGACTACTAAACCATAATTTCTAATCTTTTGGCTAATATGTTAGTCCTACAAAAGTAGTTTATTCTTCAGGAAAGAAGGGGGTTTGTTTTGGGAAAGGACTGTTATTATCGTTGTTTCAAACCATAAACAATAAACTAAGTTCCACCCAAAGTTAGTTCAGTTTACGCCCAGGAATGAACAAGGACTGCTTGGAGGTTAGAAGCAAGATGGAGTTGGTTGGGTCAGATGCCATGCTCAGTTGTAATTTTGCAGTGGTGCTTTCAGAATTACTGAGCCCTAAGTCAGTCCTGCACCCAGCTAGTAGTGACAGTGAAGGCGGTGTTGGATGTGTGTGTGGTGGACAGGCCACATTTCTCTGGAGATGCACAAACTGTCAGTGGAAGAGCCCCAGTTCCCATCAGAAAATCCAGACACACCAGAATCTTCCCCAGCCTCCCAACAACCTCACTTGGTGTTGGGGTGTAGGGGGCCTCACTCCTCTCTAAGACTGATTTCAGCCCTTGCTTGGGCACCCTCTTTGCAGACTTACTGCAGCCACACCCTGTAAAACAAAAGTTCCACTGGATTCTGCATCTCTTTTCAATTGTTGCCCTGTCTTCCTCTCCCCTTCATAGAAAGGCTTTCCAAAGCAGCTCTGGGGCTGCCTTCCCTCGCCACATGGTTCAGTCTTCGCCCCAGGCTGCTCTGGGGAAGCGACCACCTCGTCTATGCCCATGCAGGCATCCCTCACATTTCAGCCCTGGATCTAGGGGTCTCAGCCACAGCCAAGGCTCCTCCCAGAATCTTCCAACCTGGGCTTGGGGCCCCACGCCCTGGCCCTGCTGGCCTCCCGGCCGCTTTGCTGCTTCTTAGTCTCTGTGGTTGACACACCTTTTCCTGCAGACCTCAGCAGGCCCGAGTTCCCCCAAGTCAGTCCTGGCCACACTTTCCCTTCTCACACCTTCCTCCTGGATGGCTGCCCGCTTCTTGCCTCCCCAGGCTTCGCAGACCCTGCCAGCTGTGTCCCCTACTTTTGTATCCCAAGCTCTTCCCTCCAGTTGGCCTCCACGCTCTGCTGGCCCAGGTCCAAACACACCCCCATCACACCGCACCCTCCCCCAGAAACCTGTTTCTCCCACACAACACTGCACCGTCCCCGCATAATGTACCCTTCCCAACAATGCACTCCCCACCCCACAAAGCACCCCACACACACCACAATGCACCTTTCACCAACACACTGCACTCTCCTTCCGCCAAAATGTACTCTCCCTCCTCACAGCACACCCCACCCATCATAATGCATCCCCCAACACACTGCAGCCTCCATCACCACAATGCACCCCCTTGCCACGATGCACCGATGCACTCCTTCACCTCACAACCCCACAATGCACCCTCTCCTCCCCCAAGTCTTCCCCATTTAAGATAAATTATACCCATAACTACCTATTGCTCAAGTTTGCAGTCTGGAAGTCACCCATGCTTCTTCTCTCTCCTGAGCTCTGTCATGAAGTCCTGTTATTTATAATTAAAATATGTCCTGAAACTATTCAGGGTCTTCGCCCATTTTGCCACCAGTCAGATCCAAGCCTCCTTGTGTCTTGCATGTACTCTGGCAGAAGGACCCAATGCCTGCCTTCCCTTCCTGTCCCAAGCCCTGCCCAGCCTGCTGAGCACTGGCTTCCAGCTTGCCCTACTCTCTGCTTCCCTTACACTTAGGACTCTCCTGGTCTACAAGGACCTGCCCAGTCTAGCTTCTCCCCGCCTCTGTGCCTCTCCACAGTGGCCACCCTACCTGCCTTCTCCTCAACCCACAGCTCTTCCACCAGGGCCTTACCTGCAATGCTCTTTCCCTGCACTTTGAGGGCGTTGTTTCCTTCTCAGCCTTTGGGGTATGTCTTGAATGATACACCCTTGGGATGGGCTTCTTCTGAACAAGATCTGCTCTCAGCCTTACTTCTTAGGGCCACAGCTCCCTGGTTCCTCCCCTGGATTTGAGGACTGTGCTGTGCCTGCCTGTGCACTTAGTGATTGCCCCCACCCCCTCCCATGCAATGAAGCCATGCCAGGAACTGTGCCTCTCCTGCTCCCGCTGCATCTCTGGCAGCTGACATTGTTCCTAGAATAAAGCAAGTGGCCCGCACATTTCACTGACTAAACAAATTAATTTATTAAGTTCACATTGTATCCATGGCCCTTAGCAAACATTTTATACATTTGTCTCATACATACTCAATGAAGAAACTGAAGGCCAGGGTCATTTCATTTTACACACTCACAGAGCTCAGAAGAGGCAGCACTTGGGCTTGAAGTTAGGTCTGAACTTGGTTCCAGGTGCTGAGTGCAGAGCAAGAGCTGCCTATCACTCGAAAGGATGGCACACCACTGCAACTTCAACTCAGAGGAGCGCAGCTCCCCTGAGGCTACACTGGGAGAAGGAGTCAGGAGGGTTATTAGTGAGGCCAGCCTGAAGCTCAATGCTAGCTGGAGACAGTCCTGGACCTCAAGGTGAAGCAAAGAGGAGTGAGGGAAACAGGGGTGCTGAGGGGAGGATGGGGCTCTTGTGAACTGAGCAGGGAGAATGGGGAGGGGCCTCCTGGGGCTGCATGATCTCAAATGCCCTTGTGGTCCCTGACATGCACACGTCACCAATCTTATCTTCCTCTTTAGTCCTCTGTCATTTTCTACCTTCTGGGTAACAAAGATGTAATAAAGCAAGTCCAGGACTTCTCAGCTGAGTTGAATGAGACATCCTTTGAGATAAATACCCCATCCCCCGCCATTTCTTCCATGTTGTGTTAAATGACCTTTTAATCAGGCTATTGAGTTGGACTCAGCTCCTATACTGGTCCAACAGACCAAACCAATATGGAACCATTCACGCTAAGTGAAACTGAGCTTTGTCCTCATATGCAGGAGGGCTGAGCTTGAGGCATCCACTATGGCCAGTGAGTTCAAGCAAGGCTGGAACCTATGAGGCCCCACACCGCAATTCCGGTCTCTGCCCTGGATGCTGCCTGACCATGCTTCTGGCCAGAGTTCTTTGAACCTGTTCTGGTCCTGAGGGCTGCCTGATTCTACAATCTTGAACAAAAGCCAATTAAGATCTTTAAGCTCAACTTGTTATAGTGCTATCTTTTGACAGTTGCTGCCACTGAGGTCGCACGTGTCTTGGGAACGTGTCTTCCATTTTCACCTTGCTGGGATGTCTGTTGTGGCTCCCACGAGAAACCACTGTGGTGGGTACTCCTCCACTTCCACCTGCTTCCCCCACAGCCAAGGCTGAGAGAGCAAACACAGGGACTGACCCTCACCTGCCATCACACGTGGCTCTGCGGTTAATGAAATTGTCACTAGTGATGGGCTGTCCGGACAAATGCTT